GGTGTGAGGGTGGTGGGTGTGAGGGGTGGTAGGGTGAGGGTGGTGGGGTGAGGGGGTGGTGTGAGGGTGGTGGGGTGAGGGTGGTGGGGTGAGGGTGGTGGGGTGAGGGTGGTGGGGTGGAAGGTGGTGGGGTGAGGGTGGTGGGGTGGAAGGTGGTGGGGTGGAGGGTGGTGGGGTGGAGGGTGGTGGGGTGGAGGGTGGTGGGGTGGAAGGTGGTGGGGTGGAGGGGTGAAGGGGGTGGTGGGTGTGAGGGTGGTGTGTTGGAGGGTGGTGGGGTAAGGGTGGTGGGGTGAGGGTGGAGGGATGAGGGTGGAGGGGTGAGGGGTGAGGGTGGTGGGGTTGAGGGTGGTGGGGTTGAGGGTGGTGGAGTAGTAGGTGGATTTACGACTATACCCGTCCGTTTTGTTTTCCCCGACGGACGGGCATAGCTGTTACGGCCCTACTGGGGCATAACCGGGTTCTTCTCTGATGGTAGTAGAGTTTGGGAATCCGGCCCCAAGTTAGTAGAGGCTTTCAAGGGGTGTGTTCCGTAACGCAAGTTAAATTAAAGGGGGAGGGTTACAAATGTTCCAATTTATATATATATTTACCACCACCATAAATAAATATCAGTCACACACGGGGATTATAACTACACGATTATGTACAGGTTCGTCTTCCCGCGAAGACACTGGATGCTCCACGGTGCTCACTCTGGGTAGCCCTGGTTCCTTCTTCCGTGGCCCATGATGAATCCACTATGATTCTATGACGAATCTACCCTGGCCACAGGCCAGCCAAATCACCGTCCCACTGGGTGCTTCATCGTGAAGCCTTCAACCACAATCCAGCCTGTAGCTGGCAGGTACCGATCAGCTCCGCTGTGTAGGCCACTCCACGACCGATACTTAGGGTTGCGAGCCCTAGGCAGGAGCCTCGTGTGATCCCGCTGATCACTCTCCTCACTAAGCACCACAGTGTCTAGTCCCTTCCACCAGCCAGCCCCGGATAAGGCGATTCCCAACACTGCCACGCCACAGGCAGGCTATTACTCTCAACAGAGTTCGTCCGGGGGTGACTCACAGCTTCTTCAAAGCAGACTGGTGAAGAGACCTTGGCTGCCTTGGGTAGACTGATCCATCGTCCAATACAGCAGTCCCAGGTCGACTCTGCAATCAGACACGTCATTAATACTGGGACGCTCTAGGGAACCTCACTTACAGGCTTAGACACAAACGTCCACCTCTTCATTCCATAGATGGCGTTGCTGTCTAAGCGCCACCTCACCAGAGGTCAGCAGCGGCTACGTTATGAGCTGATTAAGACGGGAATCCAGCACTTGTGGCCGGTATATCCTGTCCTCACTAGATGGCGTTGTCCATGTTGTGGAGTTTTCGGCTGGCGACTCACAGATGGCGCTGACTTCATGGCTTCATGCTCGGACGAAGATTTTGGTTCGTAACAATAGCATATGTTTTTTTCACAGCCCAGGAGGTGTTTTCATATTTTCGTATCATTAATCAATCTCTCCCTTCAATCATGAAATATTTTCCAAAATGGGAATTAAAAGGTATCCTGCTAGTCCCTACCTTTTCGCTCAAGGGGGATTAAATGGCCGCCAATGTCATCCCAAAATTTCGTCACCTCAGTGACCCTTCACAGACATTCTTAATGGTCAATTCAGTCTTCATCATCCTTGTATGAGACCGTTTTCTGATATGGTATATTTATTCTCATTATCAATAGTTATGTCAATGGGATTAAAAAGCCGCCTTCCATCCGGGTCCATTTTCGTTACCCCAGCGAGTGAGTGTTCATCTTCTAGTCCCTTTAAATTTCGCTCACGGGGATTAAAAAGCCTGTCTATGGTCCAGGTGTTTTGTGTCACCTGGGCGACCTACACAGGTGCATTCATCTTCCTGCATTAAGTCCGCGTCTTTGACATGATCTCCTATTTACTTCCAATCAATGTTAACCAAAACATCAACTGTTGCTATTAGATGAACTGCAGTAGAACTATTCCCTATTAATATCCTCTTTCATCTCCATTTATACACTTCAATAATGACACTATTAATATTCAGAAGGACCTGGAAGCATTATATTTATAGTGTAAATACAAGGATCGTTTATTGAGCATAGGAATGAATGAAATCCACTATTCATTAGGATGAAACAAGAGGAGCAACACAGAGCATGAACTAATATGCATCTAACTTGTGACAGTGATAAAATAACGTAAAAAACTCGGGCCTAGGAACACTACTGAAGCCCCTATTGGAGTCTCCAGCTACATGCGAATATTTTGTTATTCTATAATGTTCTAAAACAAGCTGTAACATCACTCAGACATTTTCATTTATTCCACACTGATAATTCTGTGTATGTCTCATTAATGCTCAAAAAACACCTCACTGTAACAGATATCCAATCAAAATACTCATAGGATGCATTTTAATAGGATAGAGTAAATTTGCTTAAATTAGCATAGAAATTACTGACTTCACCTAACCCCATCTGTCCTAACATAACTAAGGCTAGAACAAATAAGTCTGTTGGATGGTTTGCCTAAATAAATATGGGTGGCATGATTGGAGAAGATGTAACTAGGGGGTTATTAATAAGGTATTAAACACAATGGACATATGTCAGATGAATAGTTTAGCATTATTAATGTTGAAACATTTATGGAAAATGCATTATACAATTTAATTATTTTGTATGACATTGCGTTGGAATTGAGCTGTGTTGTTTACCATACCGGTCATTTCGTGAGTATAGTTTATTTTTTTTTATTTTTTGCATATTTTCATTAAATTTTGTAACTGTTTTTCTTATATTTCAGTGATGGTAACATCAAATCACTTAATGTTCCCAATTTTCTGATGGAAACATCAGACCATTTGGAAAGGCATCGGACGAGGGAGTGGGGAATGGTGGGGATGACGAGGGGACGGAAGTGAGAGATGGTGGGGAGGACGAGGGAACAAGGGAGGGGGTAATGGTGTGCAAGGACGAGGGAGTTTGGGATGGTGGGGACGAGGGGATGGGGGAATGGAGAATGGTGAGGAGGACAAAGGGACAGGGGAGTGGGGCATGGTGGGAAGGAAGAAGGGATGGTGGAATGGTGAACGGTGGGATGGACTGGGGGACAGGGAAGGTTGCTGTGGCCGGGTACTGCTAGTTATTAATAAAAAGCTAAGGTTGTGATAAGGCACACTAAAATATAATAATTTAACACCATTCACACAAAATGCAGCACTTGTACTTACACTAAAAATACACAAAATAAAAAGGACGCAGTATAAAACACATCCACATTTACACTCAATATAGCATTTATGCACAAAGCATTTCCACACAAATATTCCATTTACACACAAAATACAACATTTACACACAAAATTCCATTTACACACAAAATATGCCACACACAAAATATGCCACACACAAAATATGCCACACACAAAATATGCCACACACAAAATATGCCACACACAAAATATGCCACACACAAAATATGCCACACACAAAAATATGCCACACACAAAATATGCCACACACAAAATATGCCACACACAAAAAATATGCCACACACAAAATATGCCACACACACACACAAAATATGCCACACACAAAATATGCCACACACAAAATATGCCACACACAAAATATGCCACACACAAAAATAAACTATTTACACAAATACTGCATGTACACTCAAAGTATAACATTTATACAAAGTATGGTATTTGCACTGTTATGGTAATCTCCTGCTTAAGCAAGGAGATCCTGGCTATACCTTTACCGCCTATTTAACAACATATCTGCATACTCCAGTATAAGAAATCAACATCAACAACAAAAACAATACGTGCTTAGAAGCCTGTGTCTAGACAAGACACCACCCTCCTCCTCCGGCCTCAAGTCCCTGAGACACCTGGACACATGTCTGGGGGCCCAGCGCCACTCATCGGTCGACCAGCCCTTAACTACTTGTTTGAGTCTGTCGGCGATAATTACCTGCACATCAGCGTCATCAACACTAAGCCTGGCCCGCCTATATAAGCAGCTCACCACCGGTCAGTCTTACGGGCTCACCATAGTCCGTACTACGTGGAACTTTTTGTTCCCAGTAGCTGAATCTATAACAACAAAACGGCCAGTCTTCAGAGTACCCTTCGTGCTCTCAAAGCCGTAACATCTACTGTCGCCTTTCCAGGAAACAGTAGATGCGTACAGCTTCTGGTATATTGTATTCATCTTTGCACCTTTCTTTACCATTAATGTAACTGTCACCTGTTCATATTTCATTTGTATTGTGTATCATCAAGTAGAATATGGGAATTGTTTTATTTGTCGTTAAAGTCATTTTTTGTATTAAATATTTAAAGTTTTTCATTCTTTTGGAATTTACCCGCAGCTCTCACACCGTAAAGAGGTCAGAAGGAGTCTTATTTACTTTATTTAACTTTTTTTATTTTATGTGACTGGCATTTCACCTGCTGGAATAGCCACTGTTCTATTCTTTCAGATTAACGTCCCATAAAAGTTGGGGGCCTGTCCTAGGAGCATTACTCAGGTAATGCTCCTAGATCCTTTACTTAAAGTTGTATTAGTTGTAATTGGCTTTAACACATGTTTCTTTTTTCAGAACCCCTATTTGAGTGTTTTTGGTGCCTAATACTTTATACATTCCAGGTGTAGCAATTTATGACTGTTGGACTGACTTTGGATTATGTGGGTGTTTTATGCGCAAATTCATACTCGTTATTGGTTGTCTAATAATCTTTGCTATATCCTGTGTTCTCCACCTTATTCTCGTCCCTACAGAAGAGTTTCTCACTCAGGCAGATCACCCCCTTGGGTACTCTAGTACTTTAGTCTGTCTCCGGGTTATTATGCCTAATCTTTGCACCTCGAACTTAAGAGAAAGTACTGGACTTTAGTTCCTCTCGCATCTAGGACTTCACTGTATGGTTGGGACCCGTACAGCAGTTCTCGTCAGTAACCGTACCCCTATGCTTCGGTCAGACACTCACCGCACCCCTATGCTTCGGTCAGACACTCACCGCACCCCTATGCTTCGGTCAGACACTCACCGCACCCCTATGCTTCGGTCAGACACTCACCGCACCCCTATGCTTCGGTCAGACACTCACCGCACCCCTATGTTTCGGTCAGACACTCACCGCACCCCTATGTTTCGGTCAGACACTCACCGCACCCCTATGCTTCGGTCAGACACTCACCGTACCCCTATGTTTCGGTCAGACACTCACCGCACCCCTATGTTTCGGTCAGACACTCACCGCACCCCTATGTTTCGGTCAGACACTCACCGCACCCCTATGTTTCGGTCAGACACTCACCGCACCCCTATGTTTCGGTCAGACACTCACCGCACCCCTATGTTTCGGTCAGACACTCACCGCACCCCTATGTTTCGGTCAGACACTCACCGCACCCCTATGTTTCGGTCAGACACTCACCGCACCCCTATGTTTCGGTCAGACACTCACCGCACCCCTATGTTTCGGTCAGACACTCACCGCACCCTTATGTTTCGGTCAGACACTCACCGCACCCCTATGTTTCGGTCAGACACTCACCGCACCCCTATGTTTCGGTCAGACACTCACCGCACCCCTATGTTTCGGTCAGACACTCACCGCACCCCTATGTTTCGGTCAGACACTCACCGCACCCCTATGTTTCGGTCAGACACTCACCGCACCCCTATGTTTCGGTCAGAGATCATGGTACTTATCCGGGTACGGAGTTTACTATTCTTTTCCAGAGCACAAAAAAATGATAACTCTGTAAGTACTATCTAATTAAGTAGGACACCTCTTACCCTTATCCTCATCATTTATAGAGTACCGGGTATAGAAATCCCTACTTCCTCGAAACACTTCGTTTCACCCTTTGATATAATTACTCAATTCTTGTAACCTTGTCTTATAATCAGTAATTTCACACAGAATAGTTTAAAGTTGCCACGTTATCCTGTCAATCTAGCACTTCATATATTGTTCACGTATTAAAGGTCACCCCCTGGATATTAATTGTCCCTAATTATTCACCATGTTTCGCCTTGCCGCATTCATAACCCAGAAGATTAAGTAGGCCCCACTAGTCCGTGCCACCAAGGCTGAACTGCTTACTCTAGTAAACGAGTGCCATATTACTCCTCATGAAGCCACTAAAACTGATCTCCATAACCTCATACTAGATTTTTTTTAGTAGACAATGTTCGAATCACATCACTGGCTCATGAACAACATCTAATTGCAGATAAGAACGCCCTGGCAGCCATGAGGTTGAAGATAGAGCTCGCCAACATAGAACACGAACGTCTGAAGGAACAAGCTGCCCTTTAGAGGAAGCTCTTCAGGTAAGAGAACGTGAAGCTGCCCTCGAGAAGGAACAAGTTGAAATTCAATATGAACGTGAGACACTCCTCAGGTAAGAGAACGAGAACTTGAACTCTAACGTGAACATGAGAGGGAACAAGCCGAACTTCAACTCAAAGCCGCTCATAAGCGAGCTGCCTTGGATCGTGAACGTGAGAAAGACCAACTCAATCTCCAAGAACAACAAGTCGCCCTCACGCTAGAGCACCGACGTAAAGAGCTTGACCTTGAAACCACCCACATCACTCAGGGGCAGGAAGCTGAAGCCGAACTCCCGGTACGTTTTAATATTTCTCAAGCCATTAAGTTTATGTCACCTATTGTAGAGACTGAGGTAGATACAGTTTTTACTTCGTTTGAGGCTCTAGCTAATCAACTCAGCTGGCCTCAGGATCAGTGGTCTATACTTCTCAGATCTCATTTGACAGGTAGAGCTGCCTTGACCCTCGATTATCTGGCTTCAGAAACGGAGTACAATATGTCGAAGCAGGCAGTGCTTGATGCCTACCATCTATCCGTTGAGAGTTATAGACGTAAGTTTAAGGACTACCTCAAATCCAGTGCTACTACTTAGAGTTTGCTCAAAATAAGAAAGGATATCTTATGAAGTGGCTGGAATCAGCCGAAGTCACCACCTTTGCAGATCTCCTCAACCTCATCCTGATGGAAGAATGCCTTCGTCGTGTTCCTACTCCTATACGTCTCTACTTTTCAAATAAGGAAGAGACCAACCTTACTAGGTGTGCTCAGTTGGCTGACACATACAGTCTCAGTCACCGAGTGCCATCCAACACACCTGGTCCAGTCCGGCTAAAGTGAATACTAGTACAGAAGAACCTCGAGTGATGACCGCCTCAAATGACGAGCAATTTGGGTAACGAGCGCCCTGATCGCCAGGGTAGTATAAGTGTAGAGCCAGGTGGGTGTAGAGCCAGGTGGGTGTAGAGCCAGGTGGGTGTAGAGCCAGGTGGGTGTTGAGCCGGGTGGGTGTAGAGCCAGGTGGGTGTAGAGCCAGGTGGGTGTAGAGCCGGGTGGGTGTAGAGCCAGGTGGGTGTAGAGCCAGGTGGGTGTAGAGCCAGGTGGGTGTAGAGCCAGGTGGGTGTAGAGCCAGGTGGGTGTAGAGCCAGGTGGGAAGAATGCCTTCGTCGTGTTCCTACTCCTATACGTCTCTACTTTTCAAATAAGGAAGAGACCAACCTTACTAGGTGTGCTCAGTTGGCTGACACATGTTCCGAGCCGGGACCGCCTGACGTGTAGAGCCGGCCAGGGTGTAGTGGGTGTAGAGCCAGGTGGGTGTAGAGCCAGGTGGGTGTAGAGCCAGGTGGGTGTAGAGCCAGGTGGGTGTAGAGCCAGGTGGGTGTAGAGCCGGGTGAGTGTAGAGCCAGGTGGGTGTAGAGCCAGGTGGGTGTAGAGCCAGGTGGGTGTAGAGCCAGGTGGGTGTAGAGTGACCCACAGTGACTAAACTGTAGCCGCATCCAGTCTTGGCTGTCCCTTCACTTTGTAGCAGTCAGTGGCCATACTGTTAAACAGAAGGCCACCTTTCCAACCCTTCCCGTTTACCCCAGCCTGCAACACACAGCCTGCAACACACAGCCTGCAACACACAGCCTGCAACACACAGCCTGCAACACACAGCCTGCAACACACTCCCCCACACGACAAAAGGATATTTTTTCAACACAAGTTTTATGCAAGCTTCATCAAGGCTCCACTCCGTCACTCACCCGTCGTCTAATTTGCATAAGGGAACATGTTCCCTCTACCTACTGATGTTCCGTAAGTCACAGCAACTGACAGGAAACATCTAGGGCCAAGGGTGGCTCCAGTTTCACCCTCGAACCCTGTTAAGAATGTAGTTTAACATTAAATAAAGTATGTTTCTATTAACCAACTTGGTAATACAGCCATGTATATAGTTGTATTTGTGTGGGAGTATAGAGGAGCTATAGTTGTATAGGTGAAGGAAAAGTGGCAAATCTTTGGAATGTACAGGAATGAGGTATGATAGCAGGCGGGCTGTCCGCCTTGCTGACACCATGTTATGATAGCAGGCGGGTTGTCCGCCTTGCTGACACCATGTTATGATAGCAGGCGGGCTGTCCGCCTTGCTGACACCATGTTATGATAGCAGGCGGGCTGTCCGCCTTGCTGACACCATGTTATGATAGCAGGCGGGTTGTCCGCCTTGCTGACACCATGTTATGATAGCAGGCGGGCTGTCCGCCTTGCTGACACCATGTTATGATAGCAGGCGGGTTGTCCGCCTTGCTGACACCATGTTATGATAGCAGGCGGGTTGTCCGCCTTGCTGACACCATGTTATGATAGCAGGCGGGTTGTCCGCCTTGCTGACACCATGTTATGATAGCAGGCGGGTTGTCCGCCTTGCTGACACCATGTTATGATAGCAGGCGGGTTGTCCGCCTTGCTGACACCATGTTATGATAGCAGGCGGGCTGTCCGCCTTGCTGACACCATGTTATGATAGCAGGCGGGCTGTCCGCCTTGCTGACACCATGTTATGATAGCAGGCGGGCTGTCCGCCTTGCTGACACCATGTTATGATAGCAGGCGGGCTGTCCGCCTTGCTGACACCATGTTATGATAGCAGGCGGGCTGTCCGCCTTGCTGACACCATGTTATGATAGCAGGCGGGCTGTCCGCCTTGCTGACACCATGTTATGATAGCAGGCGGGCTGTCCGCCTTGCTGACACCATGTTATGATAGCAGGCGGGCTGTCCGCCTTGCTGACACCATGTTATGATAGCAGGCGGGTTGTCCGCCTTGCTGACACCATGTTATGATAGCAGGCGGGCTGTCCGCCTTGCTGACACCATGTTATGATAGCAGGCGGGTTGTCCGCCTTGCTGACACCATGTTATGATAGCAGGCGGGCTGTCCGCCTTGCTGACACCATGTTATGATAGCAGGCGGGCTGTCCGCCTTGCTGACACCATGTTTTAGCAAAGTGGCTTTTATCAGGAATATCTCGGAAGCGGAGGATGCTCACACCTGAAAGGTTTGGAGCATATATATATCCACGCTCACAAGCACATGTACATTTTGTGCTGTTCCTTTTTGCAGGAGCATATGTTTGTTAAGACCGTCACTCAATGGAAATTTTCTGGGTTACAGAATTTGTTTAGTGTACTGTAATCTTGTGTTATCTTAATATGTACTGAGAACGATATCCTGTGTAAGTCACATGTGCATTTGCTCATTTAAAACACACTACTTTAAGGAATGATTTAAAAACAGTTTCAGTGTAAAATAACGAATTGTATTTCCTTATTTAGTTCCTATTGAATCCACACTGGTTGCTCAACCTATCCTCTCAACCAATAGGTCGCCGTTATACATGTTATGCCAACCAAAGTTACATATGCAACCTAATTTAACACACAAAACACAGCTCCCAAATTATCTACGTTTTCTATGCATCGGACTCAATAGACTAGCAGTTAGAAGGGATATGAGGACCAGGAGCTGGGATATGAGGACCAGGAGCTGGGATATGAGGACCAGGGGCTGGGATATGAGGACCAGGAGCTGGGATATGAGGACCAGGGGCTGGGATATGAGGACCTGGAGCTGGGATATGACGACCAGGAGCTGGGATATGACGACCAGGAGCTGGGATATGACGACCAGGAGCTGGGATATGACGACCAGGAGCTGGGATATGACGACCAGGAGCTGGGATATGACGACCAGGAGCTGGGATATGACGACCAGGAGCTGGGATATGACGACCAGGGGCTGGGATATGACGACCAGGGGCTGGGATATGAAGGCCAGGGGCTGGGATATGAAGGCCAGGAGCTGGGATAAGAGGATGGAGTGAAGGAATGGTGCCCATCCACTTGGACAGTCGGGGATCGAGTACCGACCCTGCAAGGGAAGAAGCCATTGCTCTATACCGGCCACTCCAAGTGAATGACACACAAGGCAAAACATCTGGGCGCAAATAGGAAATTCCTCACATGGGGACGCAGAATAAGCCTGCTGAACTGTTCCTTAATTAAATAATATAACAAAATAGAAATTTCTTGTAAAAACGAAATTGTAAAGAAAATAATTTTTTCTGTAAATCAGTCGTAGATTTTGTGAGAAAAACTACAGTTTTGGAGAAATAACAGTTTCTGGATATCAATTTCAAAGTGTCCTAAATTTTCCTTTTCAGTGAGTCAACAATCAACAAAAGGTGATAGATATTGTCTTTTAAGTCTCTCGTAAAACACACATCTTCGTTCCCTTCAAAATATATTTTAATGGATATGTGATGGAAGAGAAAAAAAATAATTTTCCCCTTTCACGCGAAATAATAATATTAAAAGTTCTATTGGCTTTTGTGGAGGCAAAGTTATGTTTTAACACTGCCACTACCAGCACACACGACCTGGTAGCCACATATATAGTAGCCACAATCATGTTCTCATTAGGTAATGGAGTGTGTTAAGGGAGCCTGTAATGGGGTCATATCTATGCTCAGCTGGGTAACCAAGTCCACTATTTAACAGTGGCATCGTCATGATTTCCACAATCACGGGGACAATGTTCACGACATTCATGATTACTACAATCACCAACAAGGACGGGGGGGGGGGGGAGCTCCAGAGCATAAGCATAAATTTACTGTTTTTGTGTCGATATAAATTTCGTTCCTTTACTTACAACAAATCACAACCAGTTGTGTTTCTACAAAATATGTTCCAGATTATTGCCTATGACCATAACAACATTTTCTGATGCTAAGTTAACCTTTACAACTAGTGTGCACGTGTGTGTGTGTGTGTGTGTGTGTGTGTGTGTGTGTGTGTGTGTGTGTGTGTGTGTATGTGTGTGTGTGTGTTGTATCTTTGTATAATATTTGTGCTAAAACAATTATATTACCCGCTATTAAAAGAAACATTTCCGAAAGATTCTTCCCTAAATGTTTTCAAAACAATATTTCTATCCAACGGCTTCCTCAAAAGTTACAGTTCGCTTAACAAGAGGATACTTTACTGCGTGTAAAATAAACACCTTTAATCCAATTTAGCAAAAGGGCGAGCCAAGTCATTAAGCTCAGGTGTAATACGTTTGGTAACTCAATCCTGAATGAGGTATAATTATGTGTGTGTGTTTACAAGCAGGCAGCAACAGGAGCACGACAGAACAAGGAGCGCAATGTGCAAAAATTGAAGCCAGAATACCTCAACGTTTCCTGATAATATCCAGGGAAAAAATAGGTTGCAATTTCCAGCCGGTGAGTCGAACTGGCAGTTGCAAATACCATGGCTAATCTGCAATGGTCGGCGCACTAGGCTCCATGAATATGAATTGACAAGCGGGTATAAAAACCCCTTTTCTGAGAGACAGACAACGATTAGGCAGCGTGATTGTAAGACATGATGACCTGGCGTGTTGTTATAGATAACACTGCTTCACTTGGCACCTCTACACCTGAGAGCGCACCTCAAGACAGCCATCTTGACGCATCTCTTCACTTTGGCCCCTCCGCGGCTCCCATCTTTCTGGCCGACCACTTTGAGTGGACGGTAGAGCAACGGTCTCGGCGTTCATATAGGTCGGCGTTCAATCCTCAATCGTCCAAGTGGTTGGGCACCATTCCTTCCCTCCGTCCCATCCCAAATCCTTATCTTGACCCCTTCCCAGTGCTATAGTCGTAATGGCTTGGAGCTTTCCCCTGATAATTCCCTTCCCTTCCCATCTCTCAGGCTACACCTCCACAACACACCTGCTGGCAAGAGAACAAAAACGTGGATGGGTACTATCCCTACCCGCCTGACAGCCGAGTGGACAGCGGTTCGGATTC